TGTGTGTGTGTGTGTGTGTGTGTGTGTGTGAGAGAGAGAGAGAGAGAGAGAGAGAGAGAGAGAGAGAGAGAGAGAGAGAGAGAACGCAGCCAGCAGGCAGAAGCTTCATCCAAACTCTGACATTCTCTTCGTATAGCTGGGCTCTGAAGCTGTTTTACGGAAAGGGTGATAATCAGTCTACTCCCAGGCACATTTAAATCATGTTTGGGGAGAGGTAGGCCAGGAGCTTAGTTAACTCCGTTATTTAGGTAGTAGAGTTGTGAATTTTGACATTTTCATACCAGATTGTTAACCCTCATATAAGAGTTTATATGTGGTAAGTAATTGTCACTTAAGTTCACTTAAACAGATTTTATTTTCACTATTGTTTGGTGAAAGTTGTATGCCTGGGATTTAGTTTTTTTCTTTTCTTCTGTGGCAGCACAAATGGAAAAGCATTAAATAAATGTGTTGTAAATGCATTTTTCTCTTCTTTTTCCACATTCACAATTAGAACCCTGAAAGAAGACAGAATGACTGCCTGGCATTGATACCACATTTCTCCTGATAGAGCAGGGTAGTGACCAGACACAACAGGACAATGATTGTTCTGACTCTACCTTCCATCCGTACATCCTGCTCTTTTGATTTTTGATCTTCTCAAAATCCTTTCTTTATCTCCATTCATGGCCCACTTATTCTTCCTTTTCTCACATACGTTTCAGTGGCCTTTGCTCTGCTCATTTGACAACTTTTCCCAAGTTTAAAAAAAAGAAAATCCTGAGAGATGAAAAATTACCTGTTAGGTACAGTGTATACTATTCGGGTGATGGTTACACTGAAAGCCCAGATCTCACTGCTATACAATGTATCCATGTAACAAAAGTACACTTGTACCCCCTAAATATATTGAAATAAAAACAAAAACCAACACAAGCCCTCTCATGGGACTTCGAGGGTCTCATCTGCTGCCTTCTCTTTCTTTCATCCACATCAAGGCCAACACTTCACCAGTCTCAACCCTTTGCTCTCTCTGTCTGCATCCTCCCTTCTGATCCCCAGATCTCTATTAATTCTCCATGATATAGTCAAAGGTTCTGCTTGCTTTGGGACTAGGTACTAGACTTGTGGCCTTGGGGAAATCACATCTGCTCTCCGAGCTTCAGTTTCTTCATTCGTTCCTCATCCTCATTCCTCAGTCAACAAAGACACTTAAAGGTGTTGTGCCCAGCACTAGAGATGAAAACTGTATGTGCTAAATAGACATCAGTCTCCTCAGCACTGTGGAGTAGAGCAGAGAACGGCCATCTTGCAAGGGATGTTATAAAAATTAGCAAAGCGGTGATGCATAGACAAGCACGTACCTACGTGCTCAGAAAATGTCAGTTTTTATGATTGTAATCAAAGGCAGACAGACAAGGAAAGTCCTCGCCTCTCTTTGGAAGTTGTTTTTATTTTAGGACCTTTCACTTGTATTTCTGGCTCTTACCCGAAACCCATTCTTTTCAATGTTGGACAGATCTCTTTTCCTTTTAATCTAGCTTTCTTCCCCATTTTTTTTTCAGTCAAAAGCATAACTATTTCTTCTGTCATCTGTATTTGAAAGCAGGGTGGGAGGGGGCTCTCCAATTTTTGTGGAACAAAGCATCCTTTTTTAACTTTCCATTCTTTCATAGCCTATTTCTAGTGCATAGTCCTGAGGACTCTCTATTTGCAGATCTCTTTAATTCTTCCCTTCTTTCTATGTTGAGTAGGTGATCGTCCCTGTTCTGGTCTAAACTTTTATTACCCCAAGGATAGGATCTGGCTTCTTGCCCTTCTAAGATAATCTAAATGTGTCATTCATGGCAGAAGTAAACCAGTCATCGCCTTCAGATAGTTGTTTGAATGAAGCTATGTGAGTGTTTGAAACCAATGTCCTTCAAACTCTAGAATAACCAGAAGTTGAGAACATTTTGTCTTTGACAACTGAACCAGTTCATTTATTTTGATTGTGCTTATGTTTTGTTTTGGGGTTTTAGGATTTTTTAACTGACAATTTGACATACGTAATATTTACAGTTTGCTTAGTAGGGGCTTCCAGAAAATGTGAGGGTATGTCCACTTTTCATTTATGGATACAATTTATTACCTGTATCACAACATGAATACATGATTATAAATGGGCTTATGACATTTGGTTTTTTGAATGTGGATTTTCTTTTTTAAAATTACAGTTTTTAAAACTATGATATTGCTACCAGCTAATTTGTTTTTCTCACCAGAATAAAGGTAAACATGTTCTACTAAACAGAATGCAATGGGGAAAAAATGAAGAACCTATCCTTTTAAAGTTTAGGGTGGTGCCAGCTAGAACTTTCTGTGATTTTTAATACAGACTTGTTCGTTTATTTAGTCGGGAAATAACTATTTAGCTCTGAACATGCGGAGCTGTGCTAGGTGCTGAGGGTAAATGGTGACCATGTCCTCAGTAGGGGTCAGCAAACTGCAGCCCGCCCTAAGCCCGTTTTTGTATGGTCCGCAAACTAAGATGGCTGGTACATTTTTAAAGGATTATGAAAACAAAGAAGAATATGTAACAGATCTACATGTGGCCTACAAAGTTTAAAATATTTATCTGATTCTTTATGGAAAAAATATGCCTACTCTAGACCTGTAGTATCTCTGCCTTCCTGCAGCTTGTATTTTAGTAGGAAAGACAATTAATAAGCAAGAGAATTCTTTTCAGATTTTGATAATCGGTAAGAAGGAAATAGGATATAAAAGTGACAAGAATGACGCTAGGGCAAGGAGTAGGGGTTAGAGTGGGGTATTTCAAAGATAACTTTGAGATTAGACCTAAGCAATGAGGATGAACTGCTCTGCGAAGCACTGGCCTTGCTAACCCACTCTCTCCCCTAGTTCCGTGTCCCCCTTTTCCTGGAAATGCCTGCTTGTCCACATGGCTCAGCCAGATGTTGGTTCCTAGGCCATCCTTCTCCAATCCTCTTTCACATTACCTCTTCCATAGCACCTCTCACACATGGCACTCTAATGACTCATTTGCTTTTATTTTCCCCCATCCTCCCTCCATCCCTAGATTTGAAATGTTTTAGGAAAAAAGACATTGTCTTGGTAATCCTCTATCTCCAGCATTTATCTCATAGGTCGAACCATTAAATGGAATCTACTATAAACTCAAAATTAGGTCCCATCAAGCCCCTTGTGAAAATCAAGAGGCTCCTCTAATAAGTTGCAGATTCTTAAGTTTAAATCTATCATTTACATTTTTTATACATGTTCTTCCCACCCTATCCTCTCTACTCCAAGCACTTTTCCCCTTTAATTTCTAAAACCTAATTCTTGT